CTGCCACCGCCACTGCCAAATGAGGAGCCTGACTTGGCGGAATTAAGAATGCTTGTAAAAACATTAACAGACAAGGTTCAAGGATATGAACAAGAGTTGACGGAGCTAAAGAGGCAAAAGGTAACTGAAAATGGAGATAGGGCTCATATTGAGAGTCATGTGGGGGAAGGCAGTTCCTCACATCCCGCCACTCCGAGAGATCATGAGTCTAGAAGGAAGGAAATTAGGCAGGAGGAACAGAGAGCCCCACCGACCATTACTGATGTGTGGGAAACTGTTAGGAAGTTTAACCCTCCTACGTTTGATGGTAACCTTAAACCATCCGTGGTAGAGGAATGGGTGAAGAGACTCGAATCCATCTTTTAAGTAGTCACATGCACCAGGAATCAAAAAGTACAAGTAGCATTAGTGCTCCTAGTGAAAGGAGCAAGAGATTGGTGGGAGACAGCAAGGCCCAGGGATGATTCTACACTCACCTGGGAGGAATTCAAGGAAAAATTATTCAGGCATTACTTTCCATCAGAGTTAAGGTCTGAGAAGGAAGCGGAATTCCATGCCTTTAAGCAAGGGAACCTCGATGAGGACACATTCATTGCTAAGTTTCAGGAGTTATCTAGATACTCCACGTACCTGCAGTATAGGGATGATTTTGAATGGAAGGCTAAGCGCTTATTGGAGAAGGCTAGACCAGAATTGAGGGAACAATTGGCTCATCTAGATATCCGAGATTATGATGAAATGTGCATAAAACTACAAATAGTAGCTCGCAGTAAGAAGGAGGTTGAGAGAGAGAAGAGGGGTTATTCATATAGTAGACCCCCAACCTACCCTCGACCCACCGGAGGCATTATGAAGAAAAACCATCAGGGTTCGAGTAGCTCATGGAACCAAGGAAGGCAGAAGGGTCCATTTCAAAGGGGCCAAGGACAGAGGAGCTATCATAGTAGTTATCACGGGTCACAGAGGAGCCCAACAGTATCTACCCCTGCCCCGAGTACAACGAGCTCTCAACAGTGCACTAAATGCGGGCGTCGTCATTTCGGACAGTGCTGGGTCTGTTACATTTGTGGGAAACCCGGTCACATTGCAAAGTTTTATGGGGACAACCAGGGCTCAAATATGAAGAACCCTTCCCAACATCCTACTATCTCTGGCCGTGTGTTTACTCTTACTCAGGACACCATGAACTCCCCAGATGCCATTAAAGGTAACATCAAAATCCTTCATCATGATATTGTTGCACTATTTGATTCGGGTACTACACACTCTTTTATTTCTAAAACTTGTGTAAAGAACCTTGATTTGCCTGTGTGTATTTTACCTTTTGATATGAATGTGTCTACTCCTGTGGAAGAATCTGTAAGGACTGCTAAGGCATGCCTTAACCTAGTAGTCGAGTTTAAAAATAGGAAAACAACTATGGACTTAATTATCCTACCACTGAGAGGTATGGATGTAATTATGGGAATGAATTGGATGGCTGTAAATGGTGCTATCCTAGATTGTAGAGAGAGGAGTGTGTCTTTATCTTCTTTGTCGGTGACCCCAGTCGAGACTCAAGATCATGTTTTCTTGTCGGCGGCGCAAGTTGATAGATGTATGAAGAAGGGTTGCCAGGCCTACATGGTTTTCTTCTCTATCCAAGCTGAGATTGATGAAGGCGTGAAGAATATCCCAATTTTCAAAGAATTTGCGGATGTATTTCCAGATGAAGTCTCCGGTTTACCCCCAAAGCGCAAGGTAGAGTTCTCAATTGAATTGGTACCCGGTACAGGGCCAATTTCTAAGGCTGCTTATCGGATATCCCCTTCAGAGTTAGCGGAACTGAAAAAGCAAATTGAAGAGCTACTTGAGAAGGGTTTCATCAGACCAAGTGTTTCACCTTGGGGATCTCCAGTCCTTTTTGTAAAGAAGAAGCACGGAAGCCTCCGATTGTGCATTGATTATAGACAATTGAACAAAGTAACCATCAAGAACAAATATCCACTTCCGAGAATCGATGATTTACTGGATCAGCTTGTGGGATCCGCAGTTTTCTCAAAGATTGACTTAAGGTCAGGGTACCACCAATTGAGAGTGAGAGCAGAGGATATACCTAAGACAGCATTTCGGACGAGATATGGGCATTATGAATTCATGTGATGCCGTTTGGACTTACGAATGCTCCTACGGTATTCATGGATTACATGAATAGGATCTTTCGACCCTATTTAGATAAGTTTGTAGTAGTGTTTATTGATGACATTCTTATTTATTCAAAGGATGAGGAGGCTCATGGTGAGCATTTAAGAATCGTCTTGCAAGTTTTGAGGGAACATAAGCTTTATACCAAATTAAACAAGTGTGAATTTTGGCTCTAAGAAGTAAAGTTTTTGGGCCATGTTGTGTCCAGAGACGGAGTTGCGGTGGATCCTAGCAAGATTGATGCAGTGATGAAGTGGGAACAGCCAAAATTTGTTATAGAGATACGAAGCTTTTTAGGTTTAGCAGGTTATTATCGTCGCTTTATTAAGGGATTTTCGCAAATTGCGATGCCCTTGACTAAGCTGACTAAAAAGGATGCCCCATTTATTTGGACTGACAAATGTGAAGCTGCTTTCCAAGAATTGAAAAAGAGGTTAACCACTACTCCAGTATTGACTATTCCTGACCCTGTGGTGCCGTACACTCTGTACATTGATGCTTCTTTAAAGGGTTTAGGATGTGTTTTGATGCAAGATGACCGAGTGGTTGCCTATTCCTCTAGACAATTGAGGCCACACGAGGAAAATTACCCTACACATGACTTGGAGTTGGCTGCAGTTGTGTTTGCTCTGAAGATATGGAGACACTACTTGTATGGATCTAAGTTTCAAATCTTCAGTGACCATAAGAGCCTGAAGTATTTATTTGATCAGAAAGAGCTTAATATGAGGCAGCGACGATGGATGGAATTTCTGAAGGATTATGACTTTAAATTACATTACCATCCGGGTAAGGCTAACGTGGTAGCTAATGCCTTAAGTAGGAAGACTATTCATGCTGCACATTTGATGGTTCATGAATATCATTTGTGGAACAGTTTTCATGATGTTCCAGTGGATGTGATTGAACATCAAATGGCCGCACTCCAGGTAGCAGACTTTGAGAGCAAATTTTGGGAAGATCTCAGAGTCTCACAGCAGAGTGATGACTACTTGAAGAATATAAGGAAGGAGATAGTAGTAGGTAAAGCCCTAAATTTTACCATCTCTGATGACACAGTGATGAGATATAAAGGTAGAGTTTGTGTACCTAATGATCCAAGATTGAGGAATATCCTTTTAGAAGAGGCTCATAGGAGCAAATATACAATTCATCCCAGTATAACTAAAATGTACCATGATTTGAAGTGAGGTTGGTGGTGGCCAGGAATGAAGAAAGATGTAACCGAATTTGTTTCTAGATGTTTAACGTGTCAGAAGATAAAGATAGAACATCAGAAGCCAGCTGGAACACTGCAACCGTTAGATATTCCAAAGTGAAAATAGGATGATATTTCCATGGATTTCATCACTGGATTGCCAAGAACACCCTCGAGTAAGGATGCTATTTGGGTGATAGTAGACCGACTCACCAAATCGGCTCACTTTTTGGCGATCAAGTTTACCTCTACATTAGAGAAATTTGCTGAGATATACATTAAGGAGATAGTTAGACTTCATGGTATACCCTCTAGAATTGTGTCAGATCGTGACCCAAGGTTCACTTCAAACTTTTGGGGTGCGCTACAGAAGGCTATGGGTACCAGACTGAGTTTTAGCACCGCATACCACCCCCAAACAGATGGACAAACAGAGAGGACGATCCAGACTTTGGAGGACATGTTGAGAGCTTGTGCCATTGAACTACCAGGTAGTTGGGATAATCATTTGCCATTAACTGAATTTGCTTATAATAACAGCTATCATTCTAGTATTGGGATGGCGCCTTATGAGGCCTTGTATGGAAGGAAGTGTAGATCGCCTTTGTGTTGGACAGAATTAAGTGAGAGAAGTATCATTGGTCCAGAAATTATAGAGCAGACCACCCAGAAGATTGCAATGATTAAGCAAAAATTGCTAACCGCTCAGAGCCGACAGAAGAGCTATGTTGATAAGAGGAAACGGCCGTTAGAGTTTGAAGTAGGAGATCATATATTTTTGAAGGTTTCTCCAGTGACAGGCATTGGTAGATCCATTAAGGCAAAGAAATTGACACCTAAATTTATGGGCCCGTATGAGATCTTGGAGCCAATTGGATCTACTGCATATAGAGTTGCATTACCTCCACAGATTGCAGGTATCTATAATGTGTTCCACATATCACAGTTGAAGAAGTACAACCCGAATCCCTCCCATGTTATTGAACCTGAAGAAGTAGAATTAAGGGAGAATTTGACCTTTAGATCCGAACCGGAGCGAATTGAGGACTTTAAGGACAAACAACTACGCAATAAGACCATCCGACTCGTGAAGGTGATTTGGAAGGGTGGAGCCCTAGGTGATGCTACTTGGGAGACCGAGGAGAGTATGAGGCGAGATTATCCACATTTATTTGCTTAGGTACATAGTTTCTAAGCTTATCTATTAAATTTTGGGGACAAAATTTCTAAAAGGAGGGGAGAATTGTAACATCCTGATTTTTATATAATAAAGAAATTGTGGAATTTAGGTTTTGAGGAAAAAAAATGATAATAATAGGAATTTATATTATTTGAGGTTATTTAGAAATAATATTATGATTAGGTATTTAATTATGTATTTAAAAATTTAAATTTAAAACTACATAAGCAATATTTAGTTAAGATATAATACATAAATAATTTTTTTATGTGTGTGTTAAAAAAAGAGAAGGTAGAAGGAACCAAAAAAAAGGGGAGGTAGAAGGTTGTTGTTTCTAAGTCCCACATTGGTTAGATGAGGGAAGAGAAGAGGTGCCTTCATGTATAAAAAGGAGGGGTGTGTGCATTAGGAAGCATGAAAGGCTAAGATGCAATTTAGAGGAAATTGCAACTGTTGGCCCAAAGGTTTGAATAATTAAATTCAAACCTATAGTTTTTTTTAATATAATTTTGGGACTCACAATCCCATTTTTATATTATTTTTCTCTCTTCCTCTCACGTTGCTCGGCGTTTTCTCACAAGGGGGGATTATTTTCTTTTTCTTCAGGTATGTTCTAACTTTCCTGTTTAGATTAGCATTTAAAAATTTATTTAATTATAAAATTAATTTTATAGTTATTTTTTAAATAATATTAGCTTTCTAGTGATATGATTATTTTGTAGGATAGAGTAAATATTTTAATTAGGATTTTTCTATAGGATAGTTAATCTAATGATATGATGGATTAAAAATATAGGTTAAAACTCTTAAGGATATAATAAATATTATAGAATATTTTCTTGAGGTTGAAACTCATGTTTAATAATTTTTGAGTTAAAATCTAGATCTATATGGTTGAATTTATGTGGAATTTGAGATGTAGGGATAAACCTATAATTATTAAATATTTATTTAAGTATGAATAGGTATTTTTGAGGTTATAGAAAGGTGATTTGAGGCTTCAGGATAATTTTAAAATTTAATTTTTTTTTGGACGAATTTTTAGAATATAGAAGGATGAAATTGTGATATTAGAAGTGATTTGAGGATAAAAAAATAGTTTATTAGGGTATGAGAATTTTAGAAAAGAATTTGAAAAGCTAAATGGGGCATAAATCTTAAATTAGTGTTAATATGGATTATAGATCTAAGACTTTCTAACTATTTAAATTAGAGTTATTTATTTTAATATAAAATTAATATATAGTATTGTGAAATAATTATGTAGATTATATTGACAAAGATAGTGGTGAAAAAGGAGTTGTGAAGGGGAACTTGTTATTCAAGACACAAGGTAACCATTATTAATGTATTGTGATGGGTGTGTTTGTGAATGGTTATGTGTTGTTTTGTTGTTTGAAAAAATTATGAATTATTGAAAATAAATACTGGTATATACTTCCGTGAAATCATTGCCAAGTGGGTTAAAAATTTATTTTTGTTTATCATGATGAGATATTATTATTCGGATATATTTCTGTTTGGATATTTGAATGATGCATGACTTGTTAAGGTATTTTAATATATGGTGTTAATGAGAATTTCTGTTCGGTTAATTATTACCACGTGGTAAGCCCTCATTGGACCCAATGAGTGGCGTGTCGCTTGGTCCAACTCACTTTTGACCGGGTGATTTGGCGTCCGAGCATGGCGAAAGGAGGATATAAGGTGCAGTCATGCAAATTAAAACTTGTTCGGTTTGTTTGAAAATATTGTTCGGTTAAATGTTTTGTGTGCCCACTTAACAATCGCATGATTAGTTACATCCGCATGCATCATTACATATTAATTTTTGGTTACTGAGACTTTTAAGTCTCATTCCCCGTGGTTAATATTTTTACAGGAGCGAGTCCGGCCGAGAAAGCACCAGAGGTGTAATTATGGTGTATGAGACACCATCGTTTACGTTGCCTTTTATTTTGGATTATACAATGTATCTTGTGCCAACTTAGGACATATCTTCTTTGTGGAGCATGTAAACTCTAATCCTTTTTAATAAATGCATTTATATGTTCAAGAGGATTATGTCTGTCCCTTTTAATTTATGATCTGATTTGAATAACATGCTATGAGGATCATGTCCGTCCCTCATGGTTCTAATTGCTTTTTGAGATATTTTAAGACCTGTGGTATATTGTCTTGGATGTATCATGGTAGAAATTTTTCTACCATGATAAGGGTATGATAAGGGTTCAATGAAAAAACAAATAATTTGTGAATTAATAATTTGTGAAAAATTGGTTTGTAAATTTGAGGGTGTTACATTATTCAATTCTTGCAATTTACATAATAAAAGTTATTTCTTATGCAAAAGTTGTAATTATGGTTTAACTTGTTATCTTTAATAAGGATAAAATAATCTTTTCTTTTTAAAATTTATTGACATAAAATTTTTTAATAACTTCAGTGAAATTATAACATTTGAAAGGATGAGATTGTCAATTATATAAATTAGAGAAATTTTATTATTATTTTTTTTTTAAAAAAAGGCTCCAAATCAGGTGCTTTTGAAGCATTCACGTTATTGGTTTGTTGCATTTCAGAAGTTCAAGCAAAATCATGCGCTCCATGCGTTTGGATTCAAAATATATATTGAGTTTAAATTTAAATAATATTAATAGAAAAAGTCAGGAAAAATGAGGAAAAAAACTCAAATTGAAAAAGTTATATAGCTCCAATTAGTAATGGACTAAAGTTCGAATTTGAATTAGTCAATGATGTTCTCATATAGTTGTCAGTTGTCACAAATAAGAAGGAATTTGAGATTCAACTGAGAAAGTTGAGATAAATGCATGCAATATATATTATTTTTGGTTGTACATGTATTGGTTCCATTTTATTATGAGAAAACGAAGATTACAATTATAGGAAAAGATGCAGTACGAGAATTTGCAATCCATGGCAAATAATTAAGGAAGCCTTTGAATTAATAGATTTAAATTTGAAGTTTAGATCACACCTGACAAAATACATGTGTTTAAAATTCTTTATTTTGATAGTTTGAAAATTTTTAAATAAAAAAAAGAAATGAATTGAGTTTTGAAATGAGAATGTTTATTTTTAATTTTTTTAATTGATAAAAGATGAAAAATATACGAGTCATAAATATATAAATAGTAAAAATGTAAAAAGAATGAGATGTTTGGAAAGTGATAGAATTTTAAATAATTAAGGTGTAGAATGAATTTAAAATTATACAAGAATTATAATTTAAAATGGATCCAGATTAAAAAACTTTTGTATATCAAAATGAGACAATTAGTCCAAATTTTAATTAATCCAAATACACCATAAAAATATAGTAAATGGAGTTATAAGTAATGTTATTAAAATTGGACCGGACATTGAATTAATTAAAGCACTAGTTCATAATTCAAAGGTTGAATTGGGATTGGATCAAAGTTGGACTATTTATAATTAAATTAATATATTTTACATATTATATATTAAAAATTATAGAAAAAGTGATAAGCTAAAGAAAACTTATTACTAACAAATTAATACTGCTACCATAATTCAACATTTAATTGTTACACAGATCTTTTAAATTAAATTTTTCAAAATCATGCTGAAAATTAGAAACATTTCCTTCAACTCTTATCGGTGAATTTAAAATAAGAGATTGTAAAACATTTACATTTTCAACAACACCTATACATATATTTAGTGAAAAAATTAATTAGTATTGATGTATAAATAATGAACGAATAAATTATAAAACAAACAAAACTTACACATTGGGATTGAAAGCAAGAGCAGGAGGTTCCATATCCAACCAAAAAAAAAAAAAATACCAAGCTTGATCAAAATCAGCATTCAACACCCAAACTCACAAAACCATTAAATAATAGACATTATTTATGAATTATGAAGGATTCAAGCTTCAAGGGTACAAGCTCTCTGACCTGTTAATGAAGATTGAAGATGGCAGACTACAGACAAGATGCACAGGCTGGAAGTGTAGAGGGACAAATCAAATGCAAAGCCAAGAACGAGATGCACAGAGCCACAGACTGATCGTGGAGAAGTCGAGAACGAGCGGTCGGACAGATTCACGAGCAGTCAAATGCAAAGTCACAATCCATGATCATTCTCAAACAAGAACAGGCCGAAGAGATTCACGAGCAATCGAAGGACTATGACAGTGAGACCTGAGACGAGTGCGAGATTGAGGAACAGAGGAGAGGAACATGCCATAAGGTTCTCCCGTTTGAGTTCTGCCTCAATGCGAGCAAGATGAGAGTTTGAAAGCTTTAGGTTTAGGAAATTAGGAATTTAGCCTTCACCCTTTAGGAATCAAGATAAGTTTGTGTCTGAATCTCAAAACCAAAAAAATAAACAAATAAGCAAAACGACATCATTTTGCAAATATGGGGAGCAGAAAAAAATAAAATAAATCAGGGATTCTCTCAATCTTGTTTGATTCAGTCCTGGTTCAAGAAGTTCGAAGGCGGTTCCCTTTTCCCTTAATTTTGTATAATTTCTAAACTAGCTACCTGATTAGTTCCTAGTTGAATTGGCCAATTTGGTTTAATTTTGATAACTACGGTTATAAGATATGTAAAATATTTGGAATTGTGCAAGGTGTTGAAGGAAAGCTGAAATGTCCACTATGAAAATCTTATTGGACTTGTTGAGAACATGTTTTATAATGATCATCTTCTTTTGAATACAAATTATTGTATTATAACATTCAGAACAAAGCCATGTTACTGAATTTTTTCCCACAAAAACAATGCAAATCAGTCACATAACTTTGTTTGGAATGTTATAATCTTATTTGAAATTAAGTATCCACCATATAGCCTTCTTGTAGTTAAGATAAAAATTGGAGGACCTGGAGAAGATTTCTTGTACCTTCTGTTTGGAATATAGAAAAAACAGAAGAGAGAGAAAACTAAGAGAAAAGAGTAAAAGAAAAAGACATTTTTCTCTCATTAGAATATATTTGAGAGTATATGATAAAACAAAATAGGCAATTCACTATAAAATAATCCTATGGAAGCATTTATTTTTTGTCTAAAAGGCTGTCGTGGGTATAGCTTAAGCGAGCACTTTTATAAAATTTATTTTCTTAAAAAAACATAGGGGAGCGATTATCTATTAAGTGCTCTCATAAATTACTCTATAGAAGCGCTTTTTATCAAAAGTTGTTTTATATGCCCCATACAAGAACACTTTCTCTTTTATGATATTTTATTTAAAAAAATAATTTTTTTCATTTTCTCTTACAACCCATTTACAAATGACTAATCCAAAACATTATCAAAAGCTAATCTAGTAAAATTAAAATTCATTAGAAGTTGTATGCAATCAAAGAACTTGAAAATTAAAACAACTACATCAATTTTCTAATTTGATAATCTACTCTTACACATAAAACATATAGTATTTTTCTAACATTAAAAATTACCTATTACAAATAACAAATTATATGTCATGACCATTCCTCAATTACATTTTCTATTTGGTTCACAGTAAAATGCAAGGATTTTACACCCATAAAATACTACAAGAGAAATTAAAATAATGTATAATTAAGTGTATATGTTATTTGCAAAACATTAATTTAATTTTAAAGCACTTACATTCTTAAGAATGATTAACTCTTATTGTGTGATTACTTGTCTCATAAATTTCATCACATAGTAACCACACTCCCAGCCTGTTATTTGTGTAGGTATCTGTAAAAACAATAAAAGTACATGTCATTATCCAAATATGTTAGAAACAAAATTCAACCTAGTTAATGGTTTAGAGTTGAAATTATATATATAATTTTGATTTGCAAAAATTTGATAAAAATCTGACAGAATCTTCCCTATAACTTAGATATTCCAAATTTTTTTAAAAATTCTACATTAATTCAAAATAACATATTCAAAATAACAAAGTTAAAATATCAATCAAATAATCATTTAGATACATACTTGCTTATTTTATTAAGCAAATAATACAAATTGTTATCTTGTTCCACATAAAATACTAAGCAAGATCAAGCTTTTTGATATTTGAATTAAGACTTTCACCACCTTGATAATGTACCATGGCCTTGTCAAAATAAAGCATACCAACTTAACCATATCAGGATAATCCTTAAAAACTTTTTTAATCATATTAATTATTTCATCAAGACGGATAACATCATGTGTTCAGCATCATTAGTCATCTACAAAAGCACTTGTTCAAATAAACACTCTCGTAGGTTAACATTTTAGAGTACTTATTTTGAAATGTTTTTATGCACATATTTTTGGAGCACTTTTCACAGAAACACATTGAAATGAATGCTCCTATTTGCATTTTTTGTAGTATTTATTAATGGAATGAAATGGGTTGGAGTGAAATGAAATGAAACATTATATTGTTGGAGAATTTTATTAAAGGAATAAATGATTCTAATTAATCGTTATTTAAAAAATATAAAATTAATATATTTGAATTAGATATAATCATTTTTTTTAATTTAATGGTGAGTGGCAATGAAAATGTGAGAAGAATGAGGGCAATTTTATAATAATATTATTTATATTATATCATTTATCTTTAATCCTAAATTGGAGGATCAAGAGAAAAATGATTTAGGATGGCGACGAAGTAATGAATGGCTTAGAAGACCACTCCATGTTATTTTATCTTCTCTTAAATTTTTTTTTTTCAAACAACGTATAATAAGACTTCTAGTTATCCTACTCTACCTTAAAGTAAAAAAACTTCCAAATATTATCTTAAAGTCTTTTCTTTAATTTTTCTCATATAAGGGCGAATAAAGATAAAAATAATCTTTTACCTCTAGTTTTCTCCTATAATTTTTCTCTCTCTATATTTTCTTTTCACTCAAAACAAAGCCGTAATATAAGCAGAGTTGGTTTCTCTCCATTTCCTCTTCACTTTTTATAAAACATCAAATCTCAACTATTTAAAAATAGATTCAATGGTTAAGATGAGAAGTGGAGAAAAAATAAAGAGAAAATGAAATGGAGAGAAGCCAACTCAAATATAAGCTTATGCACGATAAACATGGCAAGTTGATTAGACACTTTTGGCTTAGCCTGGCCATACTAAGACTGTAGGAATATATATAATATAAAAATTACCTGATTATTGACATTTGACACAATTACTCCAACAAATATTTGGAAATAATCAGGGATTCTTGCAAAATAGTTAAAAAAAAAAAACAATTTAACCCTTTTTTAATAAACAAAAGTTATAATAACTTCACCCTAGTGCAAAATCCTTTTCTTGTTTTTAGTTATTTATTACACACACACACACATAACATTATATTTTTTTTGTTTTTTCATGAGATTGAAATTCAAATAGTCATGTACCGTCCGTGGAAGTGGATAAATTTTTTTCAGTCCCAATCTCAATTCATCAACGTTTCTTTGGGCCAATATATATACATACATACATATACATATATAACATTATTCTACATCAACTGATGGTAAGAAATTAAATTGAAGTAGCTCTAGAATTCTTAAATTAAGTAACCTTAAAAATATTAAATATTACATAATATTAATAAAAACATAATATATATATATATATTGAATAATTATATATATATATTGAAGGGTTTTAAAAAAATTTGCTCTTAAATTATAGATTCAGGAGCATTTCTAATTTTAAATTTATTTTTGATAAAATGTTTATTTTTGACATTTTAAAATGATAAATATCACTCATATTGTTAGTAAATGTTTACTTTAACAATTAATATACAAAAAGGTATAGAAAATGATATAGAAATTACAAAAAATACTATGAAAATTAAAAAAATATTAATTTTATGCAATTTTTTTCTTAGTTATTTTTTATAATTTTTGGTTAGCTAACTGTTACAACACTCTTGAACTTTTAGCTGAAGGGCAAATTTACTATTCTCTATATTGAATTATTCAGACTTCAAGTTAACTCTTGTCACACACCAACTCATGTAACCATAACAAAATGATAAAAAAGTTAACACTTCAAATATAAAGAAAGGGAGAGGGGCAAGATTCATTTTCCTTTTTCTTCACTTTACTTCGTTTCATATTTATTATTTTTCAATTCAAAAGTATATACAATGTTTGAAGTAATATTTCAAAACACATTGAATTGCCTTTATTATATATATATATATATATATATTATAATGTTTATTAAATTGTACTCCTATTTATATAGTTTCTCCCATGTTACCATTTGCTGCGTCCATGTGATATGCCAACCTTTTTCTCTCTTCAAAGCTAATTCCTTCACTTTTTTTCTGAAGGGAAAAAAAACGTAAAAAAGCTTTTTAAAGCTTTCTCAACTTTCTTTTTCTTAATAACAATATATTCTGTTTCTCACAGGAAACTTGAGATTCACATAATTTTTTTTATATTATTTGTTAACCTTTTCAATTGTTTATACTAAAAAATAGTTGTTCTTAAATATTGTTCTTTTAATTTTATATCTTATAAATATCATAGTCCGTTTACATTAGACATGTTACAACTTAAAAGGCGAATCTATTGGCAAAAATCAGGAGGACACATGGAAAGCTAAAATGTGAAAGCTTAATTTTTCAACAGAATATCTTCATTATGACTTTAACGTTTATTTAAAAAAAAAGGTTCTTTTTTGTTTTTTTAATTCCTAAATTCTTATGGTTGATTAATAAATGTTCAATCAATAGTAACTTCTTTTTTTAAAAAAATTGCGCATGGCGTATTGTGAATTATATATTTGATTTTCAGATCCAATCTCACATCCAATTCAAAAATTGTTTTAAGATAAATGGAAGAATCGTGAAAATATTATCATTTTTTTAAAAATTATTTGTATTAATTAATAGAAATAGTTGACAGTGACTCAGTGACAGTGAGTGAACATATTTATAGTTTTGGCTCATTTATTTTTTTTTACTGAAATTGAAACAGTTTTTCAATGACTTTCAAAACTTGAAAAAGAAAATCGCAATATTTATATATTTTTATTATATGAATTAATGCCAAATGACTTTCACATTAATTTATATATCACATCATGGATTGGATTTTTTCAACACTTACATTAACATTTAAAATATATATATATATATATATATATATATTTGACATTTCAAAATCAGATATTTTAACTCCTTTACTCAGTCAAATTTTTCAGTGCGAATGAAAAGGACAAATTTTTCATGCTGTGTGCACACACATATATAATTGACCATAATTATATTTAAATGTAATTCTTTTTTGTTATAGTGTATTCTAGATCATTATAATAATCAAAAGAACTATAAAAATTTATTAAAAAAATATAAGTGACTTTGTTTCCATTTAGGTCAATTAATTTTGAGAAAATATTAAATTTTTATATTTAACATCTCATTTAATAGAATAAATATCAAGTGGAAAAAAAAGAGTGAGCGAGAAAAGTAAAATCTTATCTGAATCACTCACAAAAAAATTATATGAAATGAAATGACGCATCTGGGAAAAAAAAAAAAAGGTCAACAAAATGTCCAAATTGCCCCTTTCCCATTTTTATCAGCCTATTCGGTTTTAAAATTATTTCCACCATCCAGGATCATTTCAACCATTACATTCAATTGTCATTCGTCTCGTGATTTTACTTTATGATCATCCAAATCAAAAATTTATTATTATTTTTCCATTTTTAATCAGATAAAACATAATTTGACATTCATTAAACTTTTTCCTTTTATTTACTTCCTATATTATTATTATTTTTTTAAATGCCCAACAAAGCGTAGCAATTTTTCCAGACGAAATCTCGTGGCCATTTTTGCAACAGGTAGGACCGTTTCCCTGTCGGTGGAGGATGGCTTTTCTGTTCATATTTCAAAAAAATCTTTAAAAAATTTTCAATGTTTATGCAAATAAGTACCAATTATTTCGTAATTTAAAAACTAAATAAATAGGTATGAATTTTTTTTTGGGGCAAAAAATAGGTATGAAATTAAGACAAAGTAATCTTTTCACACGCATTACAAATTACATTACAGTAGATCCTAAGAGACTTAGTTATAATTTTATAAATTTATTAGATTTCTTTATAAATAAATCTATTTAAATATATTTTTCTTGCATTTGATAAGAAAGAAAAAATACTTAAAAAATAAAATAACAATATGTTTTTAAAATAAACTTATAAATAAATTGTTATTATTTTTCTAAATATCATATATTGTGGAGCATCAAATCATTCTAAAAAATATCATATTAAATAAGATAGAGGGAATAATATTAAACACATAATTGTTGGTAAAAAATTTTAAAAATATTATTTACCAAATTAAAAATAAAAAATAAAATATTTTAATTACTACGAAACGACGTAATTGTTTATTAAATAATGATTAAATTAATAAGGAATAGTTCATTGCATAATCAGGGTTTGGTTGTAATTGACAAAGAACCAAAAACGTGTTGTGCACAGTTGCCGTAATAATGCTTTCTTCACGGAAACCAGAGTGGGTAATATCTTGGTGGTCACTGGGTTGGCGCCTGACTGTGTCTATATATCTACATCTATATATATAGAAACCTGGTCTTTTCTTCTCATTCTTCATTCGTTCATTCGCAGAAGAAGCAGAGTTTTCTTTCATCTTCTTCAGGATCAGATCTCTCTCTCTCTTTCTGTGTTGTTCTTCTATTTCACGATCTCAAAGGCACAGACAACAATCAAGGGTTTAGTAGAACAAGGTAATTGATCTGTTTGTGGGTTTGTTCAAATTCACTTCATTTCGTCGGTTACAGTAAGATTTAGTGTTTTTTTTTTAAGTATTGTATTTTCCCGTTCATGCCTCTCTGTTTCTTTTCCCTTTTCTTTTTCCCCCCTCATTTGGTTTTTTTCCCCTTGTTTGGGTTTGAAATGGCTGTTTTATTCTGTGTATTTTGTTTGTGATATTTGAAATTGTTCCTTTGCGAGGAGATCTGTTGGTTGTCGTAAGATAAATTGTCGTAGATCTGGTAGTTAAGATCGTTATGGAGGATTAGATTCTGCAATTTGTCGTCTGTTCGATGTATTCATGCGCATGTATGCTTAGAAACAACAATATGATTTAAAAAGTGGAATAAATGAATTCCATTTGGGCATTTTCGTCTTCTTCGCTACGACGAACATCTGGATCTAAATCTCATTTGAAAAATATAGATCTCGTTCTCTGTGTGCATTTGTTAATACCTCTCTAAACTCCTCTTTTTCTGCAATATTGTATCTGCAACATAAAGCTTTCAGGATGAATTTCTCAGTTTTTCTCCTGTTTTCTCATCCGAGGATTTATTCAAACTTGGTGTCTCCAATTGTTAAAGTTAGTTTCTTAATGTAATTAATTTCCTTGTGTGTGTATATATATGCCTTTTGAGTTGAAATTCTTCTGCCATACAGGTTACTGAGGGCTAGCACAAATGGTGAAGATTTGTTGCATTGGAGCTGGATATGTTGGTGGGCCTACCATGGCTGTGATTGCTCTGAAGTGTCCTGAGATTGAAGTAGCTGTGGTGGATATCTCTATGCCGAGGATCAATGCCTGGAACAGCGATCACCTTCCCATATATGAACCAGGACTTGAAGATGTGGTGAAGAAGTGCAGAGGGAAGAACCTCTTCTTCAGCACTGATGTGGAGAAACATGTTGCTGAGGCTGATATAGTCTTTGTCTCGGTTAACACACCGACAAAAACTCAGGGGCTTGGGGCTGGCAAAGCAGCAGATCTAACCTATTGGGAGAGCGCTGCTCGAATGATTGCCGATGTTTCGACATCTGACAAAATTGTGGTTGAGAAATCAACTGTCCCTGTGAAAACGGCTGAGGCAATTGAGAAGATTCTTACCCACAACAGGAAAGGAATCAATTTCTCAATTCTGTCAAACCCGGAATTTCTTGCTGAGGGTACCGCGATCAAGGATCTGTTTCAACCGGATCGAGTTCTCATTGGAGGCAGGGAGACACCCTTAGGTCAGAAGGCCATTCAGGCTTTGAAAGATGTTTATGCTCACTGGGTTCCTGTAGATAGAATCCTTTGCACCAACCTGTGGTCTGCAGAACTCTCAAAGCTTGCTGCCAATGCTTTTCTGGCGCAGAGGATTTCTTCTGTGAATGCCATGTCAGCACTCTGCGAGGCCACTGGTGCTGATATCACCCAGGTATCGCACTCGGTTGGTACAGACTCGAGAATTGGCCCCAAGTTCTTGAATGCCAGTGTTGGTTTTGGTGGATCCTGTTTCCAGAAGGATATACTGAACTTGATTTACATCTGTGAGTGCAATGGCCTTCCTGAGGTAGCAAATTACTGGAAACAGGTCATCAAGGTGAATGACTACCAGAAAACTCGATTTGTGAACCGGGTGGTTTCCTCCATGTTCAACACTGTCTCTGGCAAGAAAATCGCCATTCTTGGTTTTGCCTTCAAGAAAGACACCGGTGACACCAGGGAGACCCCGGCCATCGATGTGTGCAAGGGACTTATAGGCGACAAGGCCAAGTTAAGCATCTATGATCCCCAGGTTTCCGAGGATCAGATCTCTAGGGACCTTTCAATGAAGAAATTCGACTGGGACCACCCACCACATCTTCAGCCTATGAGTCCAACATCAATTAAGGAAGTGTCTGTCGTCTGGGACGCATACGAGGCAACAAAAGATGCACACGGAATCTGCGTCCTGACAGAGTGGGATGAATTCAGGAATCTGGATTACCAAAGAATCTATGACAACATGAGGAAGCCTGCGTTTGTGTTTGATGGCAGAAACATTGTGGATGTCGAGAAGCTGAGGAAGATTGGGTTTATTGTTTATTCCATTGGGAAGCCTCTGGATCCATGGCTGAAGGACTTGCCTGCTGTAGCTTGAAGCAACAAGAAGAGAAATTTTCAGTACTGTCTGATAGATCATTGGCCCTATGTTAAGGATTGAGACCTGGTGGGATATATTTTTAGAACAATGTTCCTTTATATGTTATGACAATGTTTTCTTGATGATATATGTATTTTTGATCAGCTTTTATGGCCCATGGTAGCTCCCAAATATGTTTCTAGCTTTAGCTAAAACATACATATCCTTATTTGTTGACCTGCTTTAATGTAATAAGATTAGTGTAGCTCTATACAATGAAATAATGAAATATCATTTCTTTTATTTTTCATATTCTACAGAGTCTCTTGAATAGCAAATAATACTGAAGAGGACTGAAACACACACACACACACACACATTGAAGGGTTGCCATATTTGACTCCCTTGCTTACGCACTGTATTGGATTTTAGTTGTTTTACTGACAACAATGAGATCTTTCCATGTATATGTGCTTGGGAAAATTACTCTTAGGTTCCATATAGGCAATCTAAATAAAAAAATGCTCCATAAAATAAATAAAAAAATTATTCTGAAATTCCATTTTTTTTTACTAAAAATGTCTATTACTACGGGATAGTTGTTAATTATTGGTGCGTAGTTGTTAATTGAACAATTGCACTAAAACCAATCCAGCAGCAATTAAAAATTTTAACATGGTAAATTGACAATTTCAGTAAAAAATATAGGATTTCAAAATAATTTTGTGAGTTTACAAAATTTTTCTATATTTAAATTACTTGTGTATGATCTGAGAGTAATTTTCCCTGTATGTTTTCCCTATATATATATATATATATTATATAAATATTGAGAAGTTGCCATTTGACACTACCTTCCTTGCTTGGCCATAGCATTTGGATTTTAGTTGTTGTACAGGCAAAAAAAAAAAAAAAAAATCCGCCATGGGTATATGCTTCTGCAAAACAGATGTATTATATTTTATTATTTGATTGATAACACGTGAGTTAACTTTAATTTTTTTTTAATTTCCTAGATTGTTAAAGATCCAATGCTACTCTCATTGTCATATGATATGATTAATTTTTCCTCTTCATAATCTTAATCCATCCTTTAAAAAATTGTTGATTTGTTTTGTCAAGGCCTGACATTCACAATTGTCGGTGGCACGCTTAGGTGTGCAATATTTTATTATCATTCAATTAACGTATTTGAAAAATTTAATGAATAATCTATTGGTCCATTGATAAAACAATGAATTAAGCAACCCATAGTTTTTTTTAAAAAAAAATATTAAAGATATCTTATATCATTAGAAAAAATACCACGAGTCCACGAGTTAATTTCTCTATTAAATAAAAAGAATTGGTTTTCTATCCAGTTTCTTACCTGTTGGCTGTTTGAATAAATAAAATTGCCTTTATTTGTTGGCACAGAGACTTACTTTGTTTTGAATAAAATTTCTCTCGTTTAAAAAATAAATTTCCTATTTTAACCTCCTTGAAAAGTTAGCCTTCCATTGTTGGAAGAATTTTAATGGTGTATTTGGCTACTCGCTTCAACTGAAACCATAATTTTAATAGTTTTTTTTATGTGAAATTAAATACCCACAAAGCCAGCTAGATATTTCCTGGAAAAAATTTACAACTCTTAGTGGTCAAATTCCAGAGTACCTTCTCTCCTTGTTACCCCCTCCTGCTTTTCTTCTGTTGTTTTAAAAATCATTTATGGCTTGACTTATTTTGGATTTTTCATTTAATATATTTATAATAAGGAAAAAGATAGTTAAGTCCAAAAGATTGAATTGATGACAAGTAGGTCCCAACAAAATTTTTTATAAAATGAATTGTAAATATTAATTCAAACAGTTATAAATAAAATTTTTTATTAAAGTCTAAGAGCTATTGTTTTGGGTGTTCTTGGTAGCGTGGGTGTATGAGAGGAGCATGTTTTCAAAAAGTATGATATTCCTAATTTCTAAAATCAAATGGTGAATTTTCAGTGTCATTTACGATAATTTCCCCAAATATAAGCATTGAAAAATAAAAGGATTAGAGAAATGAAGAAGGAGAAATATGTGAAACTTGCATGGTGAGAATGGCCATAATATTGACAATGATAAATAAGAAATTACAAGAAACAAAAGATGAAAAACTAAAAAAAAAAAAATACTAACACATTATTACCATTGTTCTGTTAGGAACTAGCGTTCTACTAATTATTGGAGAATTTCAATGCTCTCTATTGAATGTATGGTGCATTAAAGGCCTTGTGTGAATTTGCTGAAAGATAAAAGAAGTCATGCTAGACAAATTAAAGGATGACATAAGGTCTAGATTTTTGCACTAGGTAAGTAAAGTTGTTGAAGTGTTGGAGACGTTGAAATGGTATGTGTAGAGTTTAAGCCATCGTATGTGTGCGGTGGCTTTTCTTTTATAAGTATAAAATGGCAATTTTCTCCATGTTCCACTTTTTTAGGGCACTAGCTCCAATCTTGCTTTTCTAAAATGGTGGGTTGCTTGACTAAGTTTTCTCCTCAACTATCTCTTTTTTAGAAGCTTTATGTGAGCTTTGGGCCATAATTACTCTTTTTAGTCTAAATAGTTGGGTTTGGATTAAAAATCACATTTTAACCCAAACAGTTATATTTGATACTTACTTATTTGCAATTTAAACTTTTGAATTTGTAATTATCTATATAGATATTTTTAACTTATTTTTTTTTAAATTTGTTGTGAACTTAACTGTCATTAAATTAATATTTTAGGACCTAACTATCATTCTCGCTTGTAATAATACCACATTTTACATTTACATGCACAAATCAAGAGGAAAATCAATTAGAGAAAAATACTATTTTGGGAAAATGAGATATTTTGGATGAAGAAATAAACAACAATGACAATGCTTTTAGAAGGGCCAAAGGATCATTTAAGAAATTGAAACTCCAAAAATTGACAATGCTTTTAGAAGGGCCAAAGGATCATTTAAGAAATTGAAACTCCAAAAATTGAAGAATATGCAAACAAATTCTCCAATGTGAATATTTCTTATCAAGAAGGATGAGTTCGATTGATCAAAGAGATGACATTGTGATTTTGGGAATATTAAGAATTTGGTGCACAAATTTTATTATATTTCATTCATGGCTTTAAAAATTTGAATTACTTACCCTTCAATTTGCATATTTTCCACACATACTCTCGAGTTTCAAGATATTGCACCTCACCCTTACCTAAATGTCTTAGCCTCGACACTGATCATGGGCTCCACCAAAAATGTAGGCTATACCATTTCTATAAATGTAAGATTATGATAATTCTTGAAGGGTTCAAATTTTGTTAGAATTAGGATTACAAGAAAGTCAAACTCTTTAACCATTCCATTGAAGTGTTGAGGCTGCTAGTCTAGTGTTATTATTCCTTGACTCACTCGCACATCAATATAATTAAAGAAATCCATGGTTATATTATATGAAATTGAGTTGTTGCTCTTGATCAAATGCCTAAAATATTATTAGGTGTATTGATCGACTTCAAGATGGTATGAAAGTGAATGCTATGATTTTTCATAACCTTTAGTATATATATATATATATATATATATATATAGTAAGCCTACTTTTAAAAAAGATTCAGTTTTTTTTATAAGTCATTTTGTAAAAAAAAAAGAGAATATTAATTACTTTATCTCAACGTTACACTTTTACAATTTTTGATGATTAGAAAGTTAAAAAAAATATGAGAGAGAAAATATTTTGAAGATGATGCACTTAATAAGGATAAATTACGATACTTCTTTCTTTAATTTTTTTTTAAACAACATCAACAATTAAATTGTCTTTCTTTAATTTTAACAAGATGATTACAAATGACTTATAAATAGAATAAAAAATATGAAATTTCATTATTCGTTATTTGTCACTTGTCAAGTGCCGCTTAACATAATATCAGATCACTTAATGTAATAGATAAGGTGACATTGACTGGGGCGTGATATAAAAGCCATAAAAATATCTTTAACAAGATTAGACCAAAAACTCTAGGCTCTATCTCCTCTTTTTCATATCTCTATCATTTGTGATGATGGGGTTTCATTCTTGTGTTTTGAATCACATTTTAACGACTCAATGTGTGGTTTTTCACAAAAATAGTAGAAGTGTTATATTGTTTATGTTCAAAATATGATTTTAGAACTATTATCACTTAGTCTTAAAGATATCATAAAATTTGTCCACAGTCCTATTTAAAAGAAATTCTCACGATTACTATTCGATCAAGATTAAGGGGGAAAAAGTTTAAACGGTTATATTTATTAAACTTGCCTCCATTTGATTTTTTTTTTTGAGTGATCCTAACTAACTAACTTAAATATTTGTGAAATTAATTAATTAATTTTTCAAACATTGAAATACGTACTTTTACCCCTTAACTATTCTGCAAGAAATACTAAGTACCCTTAATTCTTACAAATCATATATGACTATTCAAACTAGTTATATGATTGGCTGACGTAAATACACACACACACCAACATGACCCATGATAGTATAGCCAAATATAACATGTGACAATACTATTAGTTGATCATTAGCATATACTAACAAATTTTTGTTACTGATAAATACCTAATTAGTAAGCCACGCAGCACCCTAAATATGATAAGCATGTTTCAATATAATTTAAAAACACAGAGACGCAAATTTATCTACCTTATCAAACTTTAGGGTGTCATTTGCTCTTTTATGAATGCTTTAAGGATAAAAATACTTTTTAATCTAAATTCAATCTAAAATTAACAGTCAACGGGAACACCTATTATTCAAGGGGGCCAACAATGCAACATTTTTTTACGCTTAAATATTTGAACTTATGTTTATCACTGTAGTTGAAAATATTAATATTTTTAAAAGATTGAGTATAATTTTCATAAATTATTAATTCTAAAATATATTTTTGCTCAATATTTGGCGTGCAAAAAGTATAAAAAATGATATTTTAAAAACTAAAGTTATTAATACATTTTTTTCATGCAATCAGCATCCTATTAGGAACAACATTGTTCGAAATGCAGTTGCTGTGAACAATCTTTCTATTAATAAATTTTAATCAAAATTCAGCCTGCAAAGTTGCATTTTCTAATTTCTTGCCCCAACTTGTTCAAATCTCATTTAGGCCGGTTTAATAGAATATAGTATATGGACTTTGAGATGAGCCCAAACAACTTTGGTCTATTTTGCAACAATAACAGATCAAATCATTCTAATAATATGAATACTTTATTGGTGGACGACTAGGTGGCTTTAGTGAAGTTCTGAGATCAAACTCATCTAAACCTTTTAATTATAAAAAAGAAATGCTGTTGTGAAAAAATTATGATATATATATATATATATATATATAAGATTAAGCATTTGAGTTCTTTTTTGAGAAATTACTGTTACAGTGTAACCCTCCCATGTTTATTTGAAAGGAGGGTGCCATGTTTGTTGTGGTTTTCCAATAAAAAATAATTTATGGTAAATAATAATCATAATTATTTGGATCTTGTAAATATGAATCCTCTTAAAATGTTTTATTTTTCTGATATAAACTGTGCATAACATAAAATTATGATATTTTATATGAAAATTACTTATTTTGACAACCCTCCCTCTGCCCCTCTCTATTTTAAATATTAAAAAATAATTTTATAGGCTTCATAGAACTTAAATTATTTTCTTAATCCACAGTAGGTTAGTAGTCTATAGATAATCAAATATATATATACATACATATATATATTTACTTACTTACTTTTTGGTAAACTAATCAATGTATATTTAAGTACAACAAATATTATTCATCTATATTTATGCATTTTTCTATAAAAAATAATTCTTTCCGTATACGAGTGCAACAATTCTGCATGTTAAAATGATACATGCATTGGTAGCTAGATAACTGATTTTGATTGAGTTGGTGTAGCCATTCTAATACTACAATCACAATCATTTCCTTATAACATTTAACGATTTATCGTTTTAATTAGAATTTTATGTAAAAAAACTATAGATAATTAATATCTTTTCAGAATGAATTGATAGTCTTTTTATAAATCATTATATATATATATATATATATATAAAAGAACCATTAATTGTTATCATTCAATTTTACTCTTTCGCAATTTTCTATGAATAGAGTAAAATGACATATATGAGATAAATAAAGTCTTTCTAAAAACAACACATTTAATAAAGGTCAGTTGAGAATTTTTTTTAGACAATATTAACAATTTAACTCTTTTTCTTGATTTTGATAAAATAGTTTATATATAAAACGGTAGGGAGTTAAATAATACAAGGAGATGAAGAGATAAAAGGCTCATATGGGCCCCATTGACAAGAGGGTTTCACCCCCATGTCTCTTTTGCCTTTTGCATTCTTGTGATAATGTATTAAAAATTGAATTGGTTTAACTATTGATTTAAAGATTAATTGTCAAAATTGAAATTGAACTGTGATTAAATTAATCATAAATAAAGTATTTTATTAAATTAATTAAGATACTAGTTTGATGATTTATTAGTTCAATCGAATAGATTGACTTAAATTTCTATATGATATTTGTATATAAAACATATTTTCAATTATTTTCTGGTAACATCATGCTGCTATAAAAAAGAATTTGTATATGTAATCTAATTTGGCCTTATATATATAGGGAAGAGACGATGAAACATGAGGTGGGCAAGAAATGCTAAGAAAACAGAAACCAGAATAGTTGAATGAAGAAATATCATTTTCAATAAGGAGCAAGCAATGGCGAGAAGCTCCAAACAATAATTGTTGGAACTCTCTGACCTTTCAGTTGTTTCTTTGATCATACACTTTTGAAGCAACCAAAATTAAGGCACAGAGAAATTTTGGTCTACACCACATGTCTATGTCTATGCCCAATTTGACATATGTATGAATGTTTCACATGTCGATTTATAATTTCGTCTATCCATAAATGTACAAAACAAAAATTCAAAGTAACTTTTACAAAAATACTCATAAAAATACATGACATTATTTTACAAAATTTTATACTTGCTACTCCCTCGATCTCATTTTATAAAACACTTTTTAAAGTGATTTGGTGTCTTGAAATAAAAAATTTTTTTTCTTAAAAAAAACAAGGCTTCATTAATTGCGACTATCTCAATATTACATTTCATTATTTCACTCCTTAAATATATTTATTTCTCACCCTCTCTTATTAATGAAGGGTATTTTTAAAAATTTGTAAAAAAAATAAAAATTAAGACTATAAATTATACTCCCTCCATTCAATATATATTATAAAATACTTTTAATTGAATTGTATTTCAATGAATTAGTTAATTATCTTTAAAATTATATACCTTTTTATATTTATTCTTAGTTAATAGAGTGTTTTGATTAAAAAATTTTATTAACCACGTAATACAACTATGGGTATTTTTAAAAAAAAATCTTATTAATTGCAACTTAAAATACAATGCCTTATTTTCTTAACAAATGTATTTTGAAAAAAAATGCTATGACATTAAAGGGAAGGAATATTTAATAAATTTTATTAACATGTATAATTTTTTAAAAATTTACATTATAAATTAGGACGGAATGAATATTTATTTGTGTAAATGAATGCAATTTTGATTTTAATTTTTTTTTAAAAATGCAATTGTGATTGCCTAGAGATCTCAACAAACAACAAATCACCCTAATCTAAATCAACAGCGAAGGATTCTCAAGGAAGTACACGTGTGACCAATCCTTGTTTGCCCTTTTCTCAATCCTTTTCTTCCCTTTCATGCATGGAATTCTCCTCCAACTACACCTCACAACAAACTAAGAGAGATAATAAGACCAAAACAGAGCAACGAATTATGGTTTCTGCTTTACCAGCTCCTCGGATTGTTCTTCACTGCTAGAATAGAACCGACCCTTTCCTTCAAAATTTGATCCTTTTCATTCCATACCCATCAAAATTTCTGAGCTTCCCATACTTTTTCTGGAGTTGAAAATTCAAAAAAGGACCAAATTTCAGGAGTCTATCCTCTTGTTGTGGGTCGGATCTTGTACTTACAGAACTGTCACATCTGAAACAACACTACGGTGATTCCCTTCTTCTTCTTCTTTCTGACGATCACTGGTTCAAAAGCAAGAAACTTCGTGATCTGTTTCTTATGAGCTCGATCTGGATTCTCAGTTTTGTCCACTGCTTCGTACATTAACAATTTGAGTTTTGTCCTTAGTGAGAAATATGATTTATGGAATATCTTGTCCTTGCTTTTTTGAGATTGGTAATACTGTAATAGTTTTCTGATCTTGTTTCTTGTTTTCTGGGTATGTGCATATATGTATATATTTGAATCAGATTCTTCGAGTCAATCAATCAATGGAGGAGACGAGGAAGTTCGTGTGCAAGTTCTGCAGCAAGAGGTTCCCTAGTGGCAAGTCTCTGGGCGGTCACATTAGAACTCACCTGAATCAACATTCAAGCAATAAGACCATTACTGCTAACAATCCAGGCAAGTTCGGGATCAGTAACAATGGTGTTGATGCTGCAAGAAAGAAGAGGAAGGAGAGAGATTTAAGCTCAGATTATGGCCTCAGAGAGAATCCCAGAACGACAAAGAGGTTTGTTGATCATCATCCCGGCCTCACTTTACATCATAATAAGGAGAAGTTCTGTAGAGAATGTGGGAAAGGATTCCCTTCTTTGAAAGCTCTATGTGGTCACATGGCTTGTCACTCTGAGAAAGAGAAGCAGAAATTGGCAATCATGGATTCTCAATCTGATACTGAAGCTTCTGATCTAGAAGATTTCAAGAGAACCAGGTTCATGACCCTTAACAATAATCAAAGTAACCTAACTTCTTCTTCTTTGTCAGAGGTTGAACAAGAAGAAGATGATGATGATGATGGAGAAGTAAAAGAGGTGGCTAAGTTCTTGATATTGTTGTCCAAGGGTCACTATAACCAAAGAGGTTGTTTTGGTTTGGAGAAGGAGTCTAATTCTGACAACTATTCTGCAGTTTTAGAGGCCAAATCACCGACTGTTGATGCCAGAATTGTCATTAACGATGGCCAGAATAAGGTCAAGAATAAGAACTCTGTCTATAATGCTTCTCAGCTTGTGAAGGTGGGAAAGGACAAGATGAAGTCGAAGTTTTCAGATTCTGGGTGTTCTAGAAATGGTTCCAAAAAGGAAGATTCAAATATTTCAATTGATGGGGTTTTCAGGAATGATGGTTTTAATCGACCAAAAGTGGAAGATGAATATGGATTTAAGATGATGATAAACAACAGATGCTACAGAAGAAGCAGCAGGAACATAGAATCCAAAAAACTAGTGTTGGGGAATTCAGATTATGCTAAGTTTGATTCATTTAACAGTGCCAAACATGAAAATCTTAGTCACAATTTGGATGAAGTTTCCTGCAAGAAGAAGAAAAAAAGTTTTCCTAATGATGAAGACTACAACAAAGACTCATATGATTCAGAATCTTATGCAAGTGCTGAGAAAAGCACAGACAGTACTGACTCTGATTCTTTTCCTTATTCTTATCAGAAGCCAAAGAGCAGCAAGAGTAGTAACAACAAGGCCAAGAAGAAAGTGATGAAGAAATCAAAGAAAACAAAGGAGCATGAGTGTCCCATCTGTAACAAAACTTTCAGGTCAGGCCAAGCCTTGGGAGGTCACAAAAGGTCCCATTTTATTGGTGGATTTGAAGAGAACCACAACAACACCACTGGAATAGTCAAACAAGATTCTCCTTCTCCTTCTCCTTCTGTTGTTCCTTGCCTGATTGATCTTAATCTACCTGCTCATCCCGATGAATAAGAAATCCTGGCTTAATTTTCATCATTTTCAAGCATCTGATCTGGTAGTGTCTGGACTGATGAATTCTGAGAATCTTTTGTCACTGTCCAATGATGAAAGTAAATGAAAATGATCAGGCAAATAGGTAAATCTTTTATTCTCCTTTGCTTTTCTTCTCCTTTCGGTAGGAGATAACTGCTAGTTTTTTCCCCCTTTCTCCTCTTGCTGCGAATGTTGAGTTCAACTTTAACCTTCACTGAATCTATCACTATAAAGAATTTTTTGTCTTTTCATTTTTCCGTTCCTACTTGTGGGTATTTTTCTTTTGCTTTCCCCGTGCTTAAATATAATATCTCTATATATGTTGAATCAAAGCTTTCAGATCTCACTGGGGAACTTTCTGACAGGCATGATTATAGAAGCAACTTATCGAGTTGCTCAGTTTTTGCTTTCTTTATTTTTAACTTATATTACCCATAAAGCCTTCCCTTTATACCTCACCTAAACTTGATGTCTACTTGTCCTTCTCAAAAGAAAACTGTGGCCCCACATGCTTTAGAGGCACTGTATAGGCTCAATTCCAATCAGCAACTCAGTGAAATTTTAATATGCTTTAATGGGTGGACCAACAGTCTGATGATTTGATAAGATCTAGTGAAGAGTCAGGGTTAAAATTAAACTTTGATAACTTGGAAAAGTGACATGGTTAAGTAAAAAGAGTTGCAACTTTGTTGTGTTTATATCTAGTTAAAACTATGTTATACATAAGTTGCTTAGTGTGCTTTTGATTATGTGCCTTTCTTTTCAACCTGAACATATAAATGACTCTAATGTTAGCTTTTCAGTAAGCATTTATTGATCTTATAAACTTTTGTCCAAGCACACTCTTATCTGCTCGTGGCTAACATCAAATTCCTTCTCATCTAAAATATAAAAAACTTTTAACTACTTCATAATGATTAAGAAAAATAGTTAAAAGTAATTTATATTATTAAAATGTTTAAAAAAAAGTATCAACACTTTTCAAGAGTAATCTCCCATCAAAATCAATATATCTTAATTACTTTTAATTATTTTTATAAAATATCTCTCTATAATACTACTAATAGGGACAGTCGTGAAAAAAGAGAGAGTTTAATATTATGACTTTTTATAAATGTCCTATATTTTATATAAATATTAATTGATATTTTCTCTTATCCTATTTATAAGTTACTATATTTTACCAAAACCAATGAAAACCAACCTCGTTAAATTTGTCTAAAATTTTAATAATTTTTAAACTTTATCCTATTAAATATAGATATTTTAAAAATAAAATTTCCTAACATTTAATAGCCTTTTTGAACATTTAATAAGAAAAAAATAAAGACAAATATAATAATCATTAATGTGTTATATGATTAGGATTACGGTAGATATTTTACTCCTGTCCACTGCAGTGGAGGAGGGAGTTGGCTTCCCTCCACTGCAGTGGAGGAAGCATTGCAACCTTATACTGTTAAATTAAATTTAATGATTTAGATTTGATAGTTTGAATAAATATAAATTATTTATATTATTAAATTTAATTTGAATGGTTCATATTTGTAGTGTAGGTTCAGTGGAGGAAAAATGTAGTGAAGAGAAATCAAGTGGGCAAGGACCTACTTTATATATATATATTTTAAAAAATTTTAACTAAGGACCAAGGATGTAACTTAATTATTAATGAGTCTAAAAAAAATTTAAAATTTCATTTCAGTCTAAGAAGATTGAAGTGAAAAGAGTTTCAACAGTAAAAAAACTAAATTACTCTTCATTTGTTAATATTGTCCAAGATGAAAAATTATTAGTTATAAATTACAAACTTTTCAATAATTTATAATTGATATTAATAAATTAATAAGTAAAGTTAGTAATTTAATAATTAATGTTGCTACTTGTGATTGAAAAACTTATATCAAGTCTTGTATAATTATTAATAGGTCAGTTTATATAATTCACAACTCATATTAATAAATTAATAAGTGAAGTAATAAAATTAACAATGATGCTGCATTTTAAATAAAATTATAAGTAAAGAACACTTTAATTTTTTACCATTAAATTTAGTTGCACTTCAATATTTGGGCTGAACTAAAGTTTCAAATTTCTTTTGAAAAATCCCCAGTAATTAAATCACATTCATCGGTTAGTTGAAACTCTAACCCCCACCCAAAAAAAAATAAAAATAAAAATGTATTGGGGAGAGAGATTGAAAATAGCGGTTGTTTCAATTAAGTAAAACGGCAAGAGAATGTTTTTTTTTTTTCCAACGTGAAGTCCAAGATTGAGGTCAACCCATGATGTCCGTGACATGTGCAGGGCCTAGGAATTCTCCAGTCTCTGATAAAGGAAGTGGCTGATGAAGTGATGATATATTGGTTCACAGACTTGTAAGAAAATTTTCAATCTGCTTTGGTAATTGCTGATGCAAGTTTTTGGGATTGAAAAGCTGGAAAACTGGTTGGCCCATTCTTGAGGTTCGAGATTTGAATTTTTCAGATAATTAGTTTGCAGAAATAAAAAGAGAAAACAACTGAAGTTTTTTTTTATCAATGAATAAATTTTTTTTAAACTAACACTATAGTACTTGAATTTATTTATTATATAAATTATTTTTTTAATTTTTTAAAATAATACAATATGTCACATGTTATTAATAAAATTAACTTTAAACATTAATTAATTAAAAAATGTTATAAAAATTACAGAAAAAAAAGACAAAAATTGCAATCCCAAAAGTTAAAAATAACGACCCAACAAATTTACAAAAAAAAAATGACCAAAAGAATCTTGACCCCTTTATATAATTGTTTATGTTTTTTTTATATTCTTTTCTGATAACTAACATTTCAAATTAACTTTTATTAACAATAAAAGTTAAATTATATTATAATTTAAAGTTTATAATATAATTAAATTTAAAATTATAAGGTAATTTGTACACTTACCTTTTTTTTTTTCTTTTTTTGGTAAAAAACACAATAAATATTAAATGGTGGTGGTTGCAACTAAGGTTGCCAAACACTCAAGTAGCATCACTCATGATTCTGCCGAGAGACACATACTGCGGCCAACAATCATTTCAGTTTTACTCTAGTCTAAAAACACTTTGACTGAGTATATTCTTTTTTACCCTTGCTGGGCGCTAGTTTTTTTTTTTTTTTTTAAATAATCCTTAGTATAACAACCATGAGGATTAGTTATGAATTTTCAAACTACTTTTATTTAGACTCATTAATTATATAAATTTAAAAAAAAATTATTTAAATAAGAGAACATTGAAACTTAATCACATCTTCTTGATTACAATAAATGAGTTTGATGTGTCTAACAATAGGAATTTTTAGACCAAAATAGTTCCTTCATCTCATTTTTTAAGGTATTTTTTTTAGGTGATTTATGTCCCAAAATATCAAATATTTTAAAAAAATGAGGTTTCAGTAATGATAATTATTTAAATATTAATAGTCATTATTTTATTTCTTAAATAAATTTTCCTTCATCTCTCTCTCATTTATAAAAAATATTTTTGAAATTTATAAAAAAAATTAAGATCTTATGTTGTATTTAATGAACTTCATTGATACTTGTAATTATGTTAAAAATTTCTTTATAGATGTGGATGAGGGGAGTATAAGATAATTTTAACTATCTTTATAAGAATTAAATAAAATAGTTAAAAGTGGTTTGTATTATTAAATGCATAAAAATTATCGTTGCTTTTTGAGATTACCCTCCATTTAAATTAATATATTTTAATTACCTTTAATTTATTTCTTATACAAACAATTAATATGGTAATTTGTATGGGAAAAATAATTTTAACGCTATTAAATTAAAATTTGAAAATAAAAAAGGTACGACAACAAAAATTGTTAACAATTTAAAACATCACTTGTCATAAATTGCAAGCATCACTTGTAAGTTGTAACATTTGAAAAAGAATTTTTTTTTTTTTTGCTTGCAAAGTAATATAATGGAAGATGGTTTATATATATAATAATTTAGAGACAGCAATCAACTAATTTAAAATTTTAAAATTAAATTTTAGTTACTATACATCTTAGTAAAAACTATTTTTTTTATAAAAATAGGCCTAAGTACATTTCTACTTTTTATCAGGAATTTTTTATTTTAATCAACAAGGAGAAATGATATCTTGCTAAATGTAAGTTAAAATGTTCTCGAGAGGACAGGAGATGAATAGAATTAGTTGGATCAAAATTTAAAATATTTAATTTTTTATAAATTTTATTTTAATCCTTAATTTTATAAAATATTTTTTAATTTTTAACCATCACATTATTAATTTCATCCAAAAAATTTTACATTAAATTTTTAAATATAAACAAAATATTTTTAAATGTTGACATATTAAATTTAATTTTTTTAAATAAAATAATTACTTAAATTAACGTTAAATTTAAAAGATTAAAAAATATTTTATAAAATTAAATAATAAAAATAAAATTTATATAAAATTAGAGGATAAAAGTATATTTTAATCAATTTTAAAATATTTTGATATCAGGAACACAATTTCAATCACTTAATTCATTCAACGCTTTCTGGTCAAAGATAGACTAAAAATTGTGGAATGGAGAAAGGTGGCTTAAATTAAGGTATCAGATTGTCAGATTGATGAAGGAGATGTGGCCACAGATTTCTTTAATTTGTTGGCAGTAATTAGAAGAAGTCATTCATGGACCCAACCAAATTTCTGCAACAAAATTTCCAAGTGGCTTTCATACTGTGGTTAGCTACTTTAAATTGGGCAAAATTACTTGTTTTATTTGAGTAATAAATAAATATTGTTTAAAATTTTCAAAATAATCTATACATCTTTTTCCAAGTTAAAAAATAATTAAATAAATCTTTGAAGGAAGTATTGTTTTTATTAAAATTATGTTACTTAAACTTTTATAATAATTTAAATTAAATATCCCGCAAGGAGCATGGAAGTTGGAACTGCTTATCATAAATTCTAAATTATCTATTTTTAGGTCCATTATCTGGGTCACAGAATTAATTTGTGTATACTTATCATAAATATATAACTTTGAAAGTATCTAATAAAATGATTTAAATTATTTTGGTAAAGTATACTATCTTTAAGTATACTTAATATAAGAAATATAATATAGTATTATTAGTCATTTGATTGGGAACAAAAAAAAGAGAGCGAAAAAATGAATAAAAAAAGGAAAGAATGAAAGATAAAAAAAAACATGAGATTACAAACGGAAAAGAAAAAAGAAAT